ATCTAATGCCCATTGTTACCGGATCGTAAATGAAGTCGAAGTGTAATGGTCTCGTTACGAAAATTAATTATGTGACCGTCTTGATCAACAATGTTGACGGTAATGGTTGTGATTGCTTTAACACTCACTGAGAAATATAAAATATTTTGAGGTGATTCAACGATTTTATACCCGGGCGAAACAGAGGGAAAAAATTGATGGATGATGTGGCTTGGCACACCGTTGGAATATGAGCCTGTGGCTACATTGCAAGCAACACATATTGAATTCACTTTCAAAATTTGCACAGGAAAATCAGACGTATGTCTAATGATTGGGTCACGACGTCGAGGTTTAAATCCGAGAAGGGATGCAATGGTACCATTCTGTGAAAAATCAATCGTAAAATTGGCTTTGAGAGAAACTGTTGTGGAATTCATATGAGGTGTAATGCTAATAATTTTCCCTTCTGGGAGATTTTGATCTAAATAATCAATAATATCTCGAATTTCATATGCGCCTGTAGGAATGTAAGTAGTTCATTGTCACATGGAAACTTATTATTAGTTTCGTCTATATTGGGAATAACATTGAAGGATTCAAAGTTGCACAACCCGATTTCATAGTCCACATTATCATCAAGATATAGCGGGGGATTAAAATGTAATTGGAGAGTGGAAGAAGTTCCCGACAGCGTAAATGTGAGGGACGTCATTACTGTAGAACGTTTGAATTGCAACTTCTGTATTAGGAGTAACAGAAGAAATATATAGAATTGTAAGCATAGCTGGCCACAATAGTGAGCATTAAACTTTTGTATTGGAGTATAATTGTATACAATGCAAACATTTTATCACTGCTACCAAAATATCTTATCAGCTGCAGTGGAGGGCGCAGATTCCCATATGAATCAAAGTATGAGACAAGATTGCCATTTTTCACGTATGCAACCCAATGAGTCCCGTCGCCAGACGAGTCATCCAAATTAACAATTCCACTTTCACAAGTCTGTATACCCTTTGGTAATTGATCTTTCATGAATACTCCTCGAAAAAAAGGAATGTTAAGTTGTTTTGCAAAGTAAAGTAGTTCAATATCGGAAAGCGCATGGGATGGTAGGTGCCTTAGCAGTTTTTTTTGTAAGTGCTAAAAAAAAACCCCTTTCCCGTGGAGAAACCTTGCGAGAGCTCTAAAGCCAAGTTATGACGCTTCTGTTCCGCAAGTTGTGACTGATTGGCTTTAGCATCATTGACAGCTTTTGCAATGAGGCAGCACCCCTCCAAGAGCTCCAAGAGCCCCGAGTATAGGTAGAAGTAAAGGTAGAAAGCCACCTGTTTTCGGTAGAGGCAGAATCCGCAAACGTCGCTTGGAACTTTGCGATTTTGGTGATTTTTTCGCAAACCCTTCCATCTTGTTCAAACGTTTCTTTCTTTGTGTGTACGATGTTTCGCAGGCCAAAACCCATCTTTTTTTTAGCTTCCATTGCTCCAGCAACTCCCAAAGCTGCCATTCGTTCTCCAAAAGAGCTGTCGGATGCGAAGGCTCGCTGTATAGCTTGATCAGCCAAAAGTGTGTCCGCTTGTTGACGCGCAGTGAGATCTTTCTGCTGAGAATAGAAAATGTCGTGTGTTTGCAAATTCGTCAAGTGGATTTATACCAACATCTCCTTGTTGAAGACGTTTTTGCAGTTTGGTTGACGGGCCACAGAAATTGTAACCTGGGATGTGGGCTTCGAAAGGGAGATTTTCTATTACGTTGGAAATGAGGCCGCGACCTCGTACGATCGGTGTCTGCTGGAAAGTACGTGTCATGGTGGAGTGCACAATCATTATATACTCTTATTACGAATAGAGCGGGAGGTACTATACAGGGTGGCCAAACACGTGACGTCATAAAAAAAAATTAGATTCCCCACATCGAGAGGAACCCAATCACCCCCATATATATGGTCCGATTTTGTTTAGTTTAGGAGTTATGATTTTTTTTCGGATTTTTCGAGAATTTTTGAGTTCTGTGTTTATTTTTACCATAACTTCGTTAATAATTGTGATAAATGCCTGCTTTTTCCACGATTATGTAGCTAAGACCTAAGGCTTAACTATCATATAATCATTCAAGTCATGTAACTAATACTACTTTTTAATTTTTTTCAAAATCTTCGAACATAACAAAAAGTAAAAAAGTGCAACAACTTTGAACGTTTATAAAAAACTGAAAAAACATGTTCTTACTATTCGTAAGTATCTTAAAAAACTGCCTTACGGTATCGGCTATTTACCGTAAAAATTTCATCAACCTAGCTTTACTACATGCTACCGTAATTGTGGCTCAAATAGAACCGAACCCAAAATTGGATAACCCTCTGCTCAATAGAAATTGTTAGTTTCGGAAAAAAAAATTGCAAAACCACAAAAACACGTTTGATTTTTACTGAACAGCAGATTATTATTCATTTATGTTGTTTACAAGAGGTTTTCAAAATGTCTGCCTCTAACAGAAATGCACAGTGTACACCTACGTATGAAATTTTGTTTTAAATCTCTAAATGCTTGTGTGTTGTTTTTCAACACATGTGTCGCTTCTTGAATTTTGTTCCTCAATGAATTTTCATTTGCACATTCTTGGGCGAATGTTATGTCTTTAAAATATCCCCAAACAAAAAAATCAATGGGGTTGAGGTCAGGGGAGCGTGGAGGCCATCGTATCGGTCCGTTTCGTCCGATCCATCTGTCTGGGAACCTTTCGTTTAAGTAGTTTCGCACGATCGTTGCGTTGTGGCATGGTGCACCATCATTCTGGAACACCATGTTCCGTCTGGCTTCCAGGCTTGAATCTTCCAGCAATAATGGTAGGCTATTTTCAAGGAACGGCGCTTTAGCAGCTCAGCTGTACCGGGAACAACTTATACGCCGAGGCGGACCACAACCTGAGCATTACCCAGACCACCGTGTTTTTATTAACACACATAACACTTTCATGGCAGGCCGCATTCCAGGACGAGGAAGCAATGAAGGATATCCTACAGCTGATCCGGATCGCAGAGAAGTAGTACTTGAAGAAATTAGCCGGAATCCCTCAACGAGTACGAGATCTATGGCACAAAACCTTAGAATACCACGAACATCGATACAAAATATTCTTCATGAAGAAGGTTATCATGCCTATCATGTTCAAAGAGTTCAAGCGTTGATGCCTTCAGATTACCAGTTAAGAGTGGATTTCTGCGAGACAATGCTGCGAAGACAACGAGAGGATCCCGATTTTTTTGATAAAATTTTATGGACTGACGAGTCACGTTTTGAAAGAACAGGGATATTCAATATCCATAATTTACATACTTGGGCTGTTGAAAACCCCCACCAGTCAAGGCCGTCGACATTTCAACACCGTTTTAGTGTGAACATGTGGTCAGGAATATTCAATATGGAATTTATCGGTCCATTTGAACTGCCGTCAAGGTTGGATTCGGTAGCCTACAAAAGCTTCCTTGAAAATAGCCTACCATTATTGCTGGAAGATTCAAGCCTGGAAGCCAGACGGAACATGGTGTTCCAGAATGATGGTGCAACATGCCACAACGCAACGATCGTGCCAAACTACTTAAACGAAAGGTTCCCAGACAGATGGATCGGACGAAACGGACCGATACGATGGCCTCTACGCTCCCCTGACCTCAACTCCATTGATTTTTTTGTTTGGGGATATTTTAAAGACATAACAGCCGCCCAAGAATGTGCAAATGAAAATTCATTGAGGAACAAAATTCAAGAAGCGACACATGTGTTGAAAAACAACACACAAGCATTTAGAGATTTAAAACAAAATTTCATACGTAGGTGTACACTGTGCATTTCTGTTAGAGGCAGACATTTTGAAAACCTCTTGTAAACAACATAAATGAATAATAATCTGCTGTTCAGTAAAAATCAAACGTGTTTTTGTGGTTTTTGCAAATTTTTTTTCCGAAACTAACAATTTCTGTTGAGCAGAGGGTTATCCACTTTTGGGTTCGGTTCTATTTGAGCCACAATTACGGTAGCATGTAGTAAAGCTAGGTTGATGAAATTTTTACGGTAAATAGCTGATACCGTAAGGAAGTTTTTAAGATACTTACGAATAGTAAGAACATGTTTTTTCAATTTTTTATAAACGTTCAAAGTTGTTGCACTTTTTTACTTTTTTGTTATGTTCGAAGATTTTGAAAAAAATTAAAAAGTAGTATTAGTTACATGACTTGAATGATTATATGATAGTTAAGCCTCAGGTCTTAGCTACATAATCGTGAAAAAAGCAGGCATTTATCACAATTATTAACGAAGTTATGGTAAAAATAAACACAGAACTCAAAAATTCTCGAAAAATCCGAAAAAAAATCATAACTCCTAAACTAAACAAAATCGGACCATATATATGGGGGTGATTTGGGTTCCTCTCGATGTGGGGAATCTAATTTTTTTTATGACGTCACGTGTTTGGCCACCCTGTATATAGGAGTCCATTTGGATGGCTACTAGTAATCGCACAACATCATGAGAATTGAGCAGACGATACCAAAGCTTCAGGTAGATAATTACGATGGAATAGTGCAAGAAAAAACGTTCCGAAAACATGGAAGTGTGTTCAATGGTGCTTCTAAACGGGTTCTAATTGTTGGTAATAGTGGTGCTGGAAAGACTAATATCATGATCACCCTATTAATATACCCTCACGGATTACGATATGAAAATGTCTATTTGTTTTGTAAATCACCCTACCAAACAAAGTATCAATTTCTTCGCTCAGTTTTAGAACCTCTAAAAGAGATAGGATATTACGAGTACACGAATGGTGATGATATTAAGCCTCCAGCGGAAATCGAATCAAATGCGATTATGATTTTTGATGATGTTGCATCATGTAATCAGGATATAATGCGTCAGTACTTTAGTTTTGGGCGACACAAAAATACAGATTGCTTCTACCTGTGTCAAACATACACAGCAATTCCCAAGCAGTTATTAAGAGATAATGCAAATCTTCTCATACTTTTAGCACAGGATGCATTAAATTTGAAGCATATTTACGATGATCACATTAGCTTGGATATGTCGTTTCAACAGTTTAAAGATATTTGCTCACTGTGCTGGCAGGAACCATACGGTTTTGTTGTGGTTGATAAAGATTCACCCAAAAATAATGGGAGGTATCGGAAAGGTTTCGACAAGTATATATACCTATAGTGTGGTATATAAAGAGCGTGTAAGATTAGCAGTACCAGTGTTACGCCAGCCTCTCCATAATACGTGATATGGATCCAAAAATTGCAAAGGAATTGGTGAAAGCCAGACAAGCAGTCAAAGAAAAGTATCGAGCATTAAAGTCGGATATTGCCCAATCGGAAACCCAATTGCAAAAGCAGTGGAAACCTATATCGGAACCGCTGCAGCAGTTACTTGAAAAAGTAGAGCCAGTCAAAGTAAAACCAGAGAACTGGAAATTAGAATCTAAAACATCAACACCTCAGAAATCACCACTTTCACAGAAATTAACACCGACAAATATATACAATAGATACCTCCCCACTACTACAAGTTTCCTTGAAGACACATTCTCTAACCTTCCCGAGCACTCCTTTTTACAAGACGTTTCCGGGATAGAAGAATCACGTCCTGATGCTACAGTACTAGAACGAGAACGTGATGTTGACGAGCAAATGATTGCTCACACACGGGAAGAGTTTCGGCGCCTAAGCAAAACACCTGGTTATCAAAGTTATTTAGAACAGTTCCATCCATTACCTCGTCAATATATCGATGAGTCTATACGTGGGGATGAAGAGAATTTTGATCGATATCACGGTATAACACACGACTGGATCGGCGAAAAATTAAAATTGGGGAATACCCCAATAACCCTCGAGGAGTCGGATCTAATCTTAGACAATATCAGATATCCAGGAACGCCAGGTCTGTACGAGTTGTTGTTCAAGAAAGACCCTCGTGGATATAAACAGACCGATCTGGAGCACTACATGGATATGCTAAAACGGACCAATGCACATCGACGTAATTTTGATTCTAATTTACAAATTCAAGGAGTAAACACTTTCAAGTATAAAACAATAATTCGACCATATTTAGTAAAACACAATCTAATAAAAGTATCCGCTGAGGGTGCAAGCAAAACGGGGTCTTTTCAGAAACCGGCACCTCCTAAAGCTCGACCCAGATCACAATCATTCAAACATGTAAGGGGTGGTATATTAGAGTATTCCCCGAAACCAATTGAGTATGTGTATTTTGATGATCCCAATGAGTTGGTCAATCGATTGCGCTTGCTCATCGCATCTGCGTATGCTGGTAATAACGGGCATAATAATGAAATCATGTCTATAATTGAGGAGTTGCGCGAATTAAAAATTATAAAATGAAGTTGTAACGTAATATTACTCTATTTTCGTTGCTGCAGAGGGACATATCTTCACTCTTCAGTGCTTTTCTAGCATCTAAACTATTCAGCGTATGTGTGGTACCAATTTATTCCAACACATTCAGCGCATTATTTTACACATTTGGTGAAAATAGTAGGGACTATATCGTTCCTGTGACCGGGATAGTTGATAGTATAAATATACCTCCCAAAATAAGAGTGAAATGTGGTCAAAGTGATGTCAAAGTCGACACACACCTGTCGAAAGGGGATATTCTGAACTTCTATTCATCTCATGAACCAAAACCTGACCTTATAGGTAATATCGTGATGCGCTGTCCAATCATACAAGAATGATGGACTTTAAAAAGCAGGTCATTGAGGAACTTCATAAACCGGCTCGCAGAAATTATAGACGTCGACGCGTTATTGTGAAGGGTATCAACGATCTCCTACAGGCAGATTTGGTGGAAATGCTTCCGTATCAGAAAGTTAACAAAGGATTCCGTTACATTTTAATTGTCATCAACGTTTTTAGTAAATTTGTGTGGGCAGAACCAGTCAAACGAAAAACTGGAAAAGATGTGACAGCTGCAATGAGTACAATTTTATCGCAAATGCAGACAATTCCGAAAAATTTACAAACAGACCTGGGTAAAGAATTCTACAATAGTGACTTTAAGAAGTTAATGGAAGCGTACAAAATTAATCATTACAGCTCCTACTCAGCGACCAAAGCAAGTGTAGTTGAAAGGGTGAATCGCACTTTGAAGAATCGTATGTGGAAGCAGTTCAGCTTTCAGGGATCGTATAAATGGTTAGATCTCCTATCATCAATCGTTGATGCATATAATAACACCAAACACAGCACAATTGGGATGAAACCCAAAGACGTGAACAAAAGTACAGCAAAAACACTGTTGAGAACGGCATACACACATTTGAAAACGTTAGATCCAAAGGGTGTAAAATATCAACGTGGAGATCATGTCCGCATAAGCAAACATAGGACAGCATTTGCTAAAGGATACACTCCTAACTGGTCCAATGAAATTTTCACAATCCGTAAAATACAGTATACCAATCCCACATCATACTTACTGGCTGATTCGAGCGGTGACGAGATTCTAGGTGGATTTTACGCTGAGGAGCTTCAAAAAGTCAAGTATCCAAATATCTATCTTGTAGAGAAAGTGGTGCGACGTAAAAAAAATAAAGTGTTAGTCAAGTACTTAGGACTGGATAACAGACATAATTCGTGGATTAGAAAAAGTGATTTACTTGCATGACATGTATATTATTTAACACGTTGGCTGCCGTGAGACACAAATGTGGCGTCTCAGATTGTTTTCGATAACAGCCGAGTGACACACCTTAGTTGTCTCGTCAGAAATTCTGTAATATAGCCGTGTGAGCCTGGGTGGTTCTCTCAGTCCTATATAAGTAATATGGGACTGAAAGATCACGGCTGTAAATGTCTAAAACTGTTTTTGGTCTCGCACATCCATGTTGGTGGTTCGCACATCTTGGACAAGTGTGTTGAAATACTTATTAAACTCCTGAGTTTTCAGCATATTAATGGTGTAGGCAATCAGCGGGGCTAATTGAAATAGCTTCAATACGGTCTCCTTACCCAAATAAACGACGTTTCTCCATCGATCTTCAATTTTGATTGTTTGAAAATCTGGAAATCTCTCAAAGGTGATACAGACGGAGTTGGCACTGATCGAATGGAAAATATCATCACTGAAGAAAAAATTGGTTATAACGCCTTCTTGATTTAATATCTCATACCAGTCTTCTTCATTTAACGTAACACCATTGTTTTTCAAACCACTGATATTGATTACAGGGTGGAAGCTCCACTCATATGCTCGACCAATGCTTATCCATTTTGATTTCGATGGATTTAGATGATATCGTTGCTCCTGGATGACAATTAACGGTGTCTGATCTACCCCACTTTGTACAGATCGTACCCCCTTGTCGTTTTGCACACCGGCACTCATGTTGTAACGTTATGTGAAATTCAGAAGACTGGTATATGAAGCTTCGTGGCTAACTTTATACAGTGTTGATCACCCCTCCATTCACCAACTTCCCCCTCCCAAAAGTTGACGCAAGTGCAAGGGAAAATGATACTACCGTTCATGCTGACATAGATATATACAGGGTGTTCCATAATTATTGCGACAAAATGATAGGGGTTGTAGAGGGCATAAAAATATGCAATTTTGCCTTATAAACCCCTGTTCGTAAATATGCCGTTTGAGCACTACAGTTAATTTTACCTTAAGAGCTCATAGGAGAAACAAAAAATTCACCAGCTGCAAAATGTTCGTTTAGCACATTTCATGGTCTCACCGGTTTGTAAAAAAAGCCTGCTGTGTTTACATTTTTGTTATCGTACACCCGTACCACCTTTTAAAAGTCCAAGCCATGGGTCCAGCAGACTATCTGCCGCGTCGACGTTTTTGCCGTTGGTGGCTGCAGCAGGAGTTGAGGCAACCAAACTTTGGTCGCTACGTTTTGTTCACTGACGAGTCCTGTTTTACAAAGGACGGTTATTTTAATAGCCATAACAGTCACATTTGGGATGAAGAAAACCCTCATGCCATAGCCATCCATAGAGACCAACATCAGTTTTCAATTAACATCTGGTGCGGCATTGTGGACGAGCATATCATCGGGCCATATCTGCTTCCACCACGTTTGGATGGGCATGCTTATGGTCGATCCTTACAGCATGTGCTACCGGAACTATTACAAAATGTGCCACTGAATATAAGAGCCAACATGTGGTTTCAACACCATGGCGGTCCAGCCCACTTTTCTTTACAAGTGCGGCAGTATTTGGACGACAAATTTCCAAGTAGGTGGATAGGCCGAGGTGGCCCTGTGCCTTGGCCTGCGCGGTCACTTGACCTGACCCCACTGGATTATTTTATCTGGAGCTATCTGAAAGCTTTAGTGTACGAAACTCCTGTTCCCAACCAACAAGAGCTACTGGGAAGAGTGATGGCCGCGTCCGCACATGTTCAGGACATACCGGGGGTATGCCACAGAGTTCGCCGATCATTGAACAATCGTGCACAGCTGTGTATTGAGCAAGGTGGAGGACACTTTGAGCAATTACTGTAGGTAAGCTGTTTCAAGAAACTGATCTTTTTTTTGCTGCAGCCCAAACGGCATATTTCCGAACAGGGGTTTATAAGGAAAAATTGTTCATTTTGATGCCCTCTACAACCCCTATCATTTTGTCGCAATAATTATGGAACACCCTGTATATTAATGAATTTTGTCACACACAGAGTATTTACGTTTTGGATAAATCACACAAGATCTTTAAACATGCTACATAATCTTCGAATTTGGTGGATGGCCATTTCACACTACAGGGTCCAGAGGTCCATCCGAGGGTTTCATCTCCAATGTTACCCTTGGCTATATTTTTCTTTATCCATTTCAATACAGTATAATGTCTCATCTTATTTTCTACATCAAATACAAATTTAATATCATGCTGCTGTATAATATCGATTAAACGTTCTAGTGATACACAATCAGCTAGATATGCGATTTTACAGATGCTTTCATCGATATGTGATACAATGTCTTTATACCTCTTCGTAATATTTTCTACAGGATGCGGTTTATCTACATCTTCATAGTTACTATCAGATAACAACTTACATAAATAATATTGTTCATATGCTGATGGTGTGTAGGTCTCCAAATTCTTTGATGCTTAAAACCTCATAATCTCTCTCTTTTAAACTTTGCAGTGTTTCCTGTACCACCCAATCTAGATGTTTCTTTTTTGTTATTACACTGGAAAGCACGTGGGGATGGCAACTGTGGGCATTGGTAATCCAATTGAATACTTCGTCAGGTATTGTAATTTTCTCTAGCACAAAGTCCAGCACTGGAAATTCTCGTTTTTCTGGATTTCGAGTCACAAATTGTCGAAGCTGGTTTTTCAACACCTCTTCAGTTACATGACACAATTGCATGTACAGTGAATAGTATGTCGTAGTACTCATCTTTGAAACTGAATGAGGTGCGTTTGTTAAGAATATATTTATATTCTTGTCCCCACCACAAACCCCTATTCTATGATCATGCTATCTGATGCTTATTATTCAACACAATGGCTTCTTGCATCAAGTGCAGTAATGTATCCAAGCGCTCCTCATGTGACATGTTATGAAATAATATATCTTGATGACCCCAAGCTAATGTCTTTGTTGAGTTTGGTATCAAGAAACGTTTATCATCCGTACTGGTCAATGCTACTTTTTTTATATAATTTGTGTAGATATTGTGCGACTCCGATTTAAATACATAAATCGTACAGTATACAGATGTCCGTTTCTCCTCAACAATATCCTTATAATGTAGCAAATGTAACTGATTTTTTACACTCGCCTTAGATATACCTTTGGCTCGTTTAGCTACTTGGTATACCGCATCTATACAGTATGCTTTGGGACCTATACCATAAAATGCAGACAGTATCTTACCAGCATATTCGTCTTTCATCTTACCCAACTCTGACGCTGTTTGAGGCATATTATGTGGGTTGGAAGCATCATAATTGGATGTGTCAAAGTAATGTATGTGTGATTTCATGTCCTCATAGAAATTATCGGTTTCAACATGTACGATTAGCGAATCAGTGTCCGTGTAAGCTACAGACACCTTATCACCATATTGACGCTTCAGAAAGTCATAGAAAAAGTCATATATTACCGTTTTTGAGACATCTAAAATACAAAAGCCAACATATGTGGGACGACAATAATCAATCATTGTTTTTTCCATTTGAATGGCTACTAAGTTTTCAGAAAATATTCTGTGCTCTTTGAAAGTTGGTTTACTAATATAATTTGCAGCACCTATTTTATGTTTAGATTTTTCAAATTGAGTAGCTAATTTGATGTCGACTCTGTTCTCCATGTTTTCAATGGTTTTTCCAAAAATACAATTGATCATTAGTTTGAACAAATCTCTTTCAAAAGGATTCAGTGCTGCATTTCTAAGTGTGGTGTTTAACTGTATGTAGGACTTCAACCAGGCAGATTGTGTGAATTTAATGCCTCTATGAATTTTTGTTAAAATAATACCATGTTTCAAACATTGCTTTAGATTACGATAATGGATAATGTAGCGTTCTTTGTTGTGCAAATTTGAAATTAATTTTGAGCTTTGACTGTCGGGTGGTTTAACATTTTCTGGACAAAATGGTAAATCGTTGAAATAATCATGTAGCTCAGTCGGTATGGTTAAATCGACTTCTAATGCATACCCAATATCCGATGTATCCGAAATCTGTGTAATTGTCTCTTGAATCCTATCCATCTCATCTCGTGTTAACCATGCAAAATTACCAGTTGGTAGGTACTGTTGCATCGTATAACCGTACAAATTTGTTGCATCAAGGTAAACTAAATACGATGATGCCTTTGACGGATCGTAATGTGGTAGAAATTTATTGTTCGCCTCAACTTTACGTGAGGTACATGTACTGACTCCCCCCGAATTCCCTTTTTAAAAAAATGAATCATATCAACATCTGTAAGCAGCTGTAACTCTACTTTGCTGTATCGTAGCATCGCATCCCAACTCAAACCGGGGGCTGTAAAATAGTGAGCTGGATCAAGCTTGTACGTTTTTAAGCACAAATCTCTGAAATTTTCAAAGATATCTGTTAAAAGAAGAACATCCGAAGTCAAGTAAAAATCAGAGTATTCCCCCAAATTTGGACACCCCATTACTTCCCAGACATGACGTGCTCGCTCATAATCCTCGTCAGAAATGTGTTCATCACGTATTTCATCATAAAAGTCTTGTTGGGATGGTAAACATGTTTTATCGTATTTATCAAACCTATTAAGATATGTATATGGAAATATACCTTTGCATCTCATGTAGGAGAACTTTTCGTCCTCAGGAAAGACTTTTCGTACCGTCCGACATTGTTCTGCGCTTAAAAAGGATGCCAAGGTTTCTAATTTTGACGATAGAAACTGATATGAATCGACAAATCGCATCTGCAAAAATACAGTTTGTGATTTTCCCTCGTGGGAAATGTACGTGTCTACAGGTATCAATTTCGTAAATGAAACATATTTTTCAAAAGATTGTGGAATCACTTTAATTTGTTCTTGCTTCATAGCGAGGTGTTTTATGAATAGATGTGCATCATAGTTTTTGAGGTTGTGGAAAAATATTGGAATGTATTTTGGGATCTTATAGTTTAGATTGCATTTGCTATGTGCTGCGCCACGATATTGCCCGGTGAAATGACAGTGATCCCTAACTTTTCTATTTGTATTGGTAAATGGATGTTCACAAATGAAACATACCTCTGCTTTATCAAACACATTTTTATCGTGCGCCGTCATTTTCATCGCTACATTTTGTTTTAAATATTGATCATATATTAATTTAAGATCAGCCTCTAAACGCGTAACAAAAATTTGTGCAGCATCCTCACCCCTATACAGTTCGAGCTTGGATAGTGAATCATTATAAGAACATTTAATATAATAATCAACTGAGGAGGGTCTATGTTCATACTTTTTGATGGTACATACATCCTCTGAAGCACTTGAGTGATTGTCTATCGGAGCTAGGATGCATTCAAAGTCCGCATAAACGCAAAACGGTAGTCTTAATTGTTTGTGATGCTGTTCAAATTTCAGCACATTATCCATTACCGTGTTTCCAAGGCGATCAACTCTGGTTTCCAGTTGGGGCAGCTTAACTGAAATGTGTTTGCAATAGTTTTGGATGTGAATTTCCAGTTTGTCTTTTGATGCAAAGTATTGTAAACAGCCATCACAAAAATGCTTTACTCTCGTATTAAGTGACAACTAACTTGAAACGAGTCTTGAAAAGTTGGTAATTAAGCAGTAATGATGGTTACCTTCTGAATCATCAATAAGTAATAAGTTCAGATGAGTGGGTTGTTTTTGCGCCGTGTAATGTAACGGTCCTACCACCTGATATTTAGACTTTCCATCAATGAATTCCTTTTCTATTCCATAAACGTTAATTGACATATTATTCAATCTTTCAAATTTTGATATTGACTTGAGAGCAACGGGAAAGTCCATTCCTGCAAAGTTTAAACCAGGAATGTTCGAAAAATGTGGATATGACGTTGTTAGTGACGCTCGACCCTTTGGTTTTATCATACCAGCTACAATCGACCATGCAAAGCAGTACTCAGTGTTACGTATGTTGAGTACAGCCTTTTTGTTCGTGATTTCCTTAGGAAGCGGCAAATATGCTGCTGCCCTCAACGGATTATATTTATTAATATTAATTTCTAAATATAAAATGTTTTCCAACACCCACCCTGAGTCTTTTTCTGCAAAGTCTTTCGATTTTTGTTCGATTTTACTACCTAGATCATAATAGATTTGATTCAAATTTGAGGATTGTGTAATTATTACATTGTTCGTATTGTGGGACTTTACCTCTCGTCGGTTTTTAGCTGGTAAAATATATAAACCAAAAAGTTCCATATTTATTTTGAGTGTTGTATGCTTATGCAACTCATTTTCAATTACGTTTATGGAGTCCTGTGCCACATTATTCATATATTCAGTAACGTTCAAAGTCTCTATGCTAGCGGTTATTTGATAACTAACTATTCTACCTCGGAATGCACTTCGACATACTGACACATTATTTTGTAAAGGTCTCCATAGATGTGCCTTATGTTTAATGCTTTTCAGATGTGCCGCATGTGCATTCCTCGATACCTCACAGCTGCAACTCTCACAGCGAATTGTCCTGCTACCCGCACTCGCTTGTGAATCGTTGCCGGTGGTTGAACTCTCTCGACTTGCGCCCGGCACTACGACGTCGGATGGTGTAGGACTCATTCGACTGGTTCCAGGCACTGCGACGGGGGGTGTTGCAGGGTTCACTCGTCTAATGTTTACACCTGCGGCTGTCTGGGTGATGAAATCTGCAATAGTTGGCTCATTGTTAGTAATCACACCCTCCATACGTTGTTGCTTGGAAGGTCTTTTCTCGCTTATGCAGACCTCTCTAAGATGTCGCAGTAAATTATGGCGTGCTGAGAAGGTGTGCTGACATCGAAAACATTGCAACTTGTCTGCAGTGCGGCGCGAAGAGGATGCATTACTGTCCTCGAGACTTGGGGATTGGGGAATGCTGGAGGTACCACCTTCCTGGTTAAAGGATGCCGAAACAGATAATTCTGTTAGTGATTTTATTCGATTTTATTTTCTAATTGTTCAATACCTGTTCCATCTCGAAGACAGATGCGCTTCGATGCTGGCTCACCATCTTGGCTGCACCGCTCTCTACCGTGCTTCAACAAATTTTTTCTCGCCGTGAAGGTCCTTTCGCACTTTAGACATTGAAACATCGTGAAGCGTGTACGTATTTACTCTGTTCCTGCAACAAAATCATTATATATATATATATATATATATATATATATATATATATATATATATTCGGCTGCGCTTAGCGTTATCCAGTGTGGCCACGGGGAGGCGGCAGCCACCACACCATCTTCTGGATCTGCTTATGTCGCATCTGAAACAAAAAAATATTTTAGCTGCTGTACGTTGTTTTGAACCCTTTGCATGTTTTTTTTGTCACACCTCTACATGTCTACCGGTATGTAGTACCTTAACATCAGCAGATCCAGCGCCTCAATATGCACATTCTGTAGTTGATGCCCATTGCGAAACCAGTTCATCCCTCTTAACTTAACTGTCCCTTCACTGTCTAGCCCCCTCCTCATTCGCAGCCCGTTCGAGTTGCGTGAGCGGCAATTCTTCGATCCACGTATCCTGATTTAGTTCCATCGCGATCTGTTGAAGTTGTGCCAACGGTTCTCTCAACTCGACGTCACGCGCACACGCGGCCCGTTCAAGTTGCGTGAACGGCAAATCTTCAATCCACGTATCCCGATTGAGTTCCATCGCGATCTGTTGAAGTTGTGCCAACGGTTCTCTCAACTCGACGTCGCGCGCACACGCGGCCCGTTCAAGTTGCGTGAACGGCAAATCTTCGATCCACGTGTGGCGATATAGTTCCTCGTCCGCACCATACCGTTCACTCGCGACCGCGGCAGACATCAACGACTCTTGGGGTGTCGAAGTGGCTCTGGACGTGGACGGCCTCGACTCCGCTCCCAACAAACTCAGTTCCAATGATGGCCAAGCATTGTACGCATCCATCATTGTTGCACTGTCCAGGTCCGGATTGAGGGATGCTAACAATGCCTCAATGTTGATGTCGCCATCATCGTTCGACACATTTTGTCCGTCGGCGATAAAATTGTTAAGCATGGTTTGCGAGCCCATGCTAAGAATTTCCACGGATACATCATTCGCCGAAGTACTAGGCATCGAAGCGCGAACGGTTTCAAGTGGTGGCACAACCTGAACATTTTGTAGTATACGTACAACTTGGGGCTTCAAAAGTTTTTCTAGAATTGGGCGCTGACTATCGGAGAATGTGCAGTACTTGCACTGCTTTCCAGGCGCACACAGACACTCTCTTGAGCACATTTTGGCAACCTAACACAGAAAACAATTTTATAATATACTATTTTACTGATGCGTCCAATATGGAGCGTTTAGACTGCAGTGACGGTGTGCACCATCGACACTGATATAAATACATGTCCCTCCTACCCACCTTTCACGACTTTCTACCTTCGCGATATCTACCATCTGCCTTTTAATTAACAGTCAAAATTTATTACCCCATAATCGTTTATGCTCGATTTTACATTTCACAACATCCCATAATTATACTTTCGCGACCTCGATTTTCCACCATCTGGCAACGGAGGGTCGACCTTGCGCTACCTTCGCGATATCTACCATCTGCCTTTTAATTAACAGTCAAAATTTATTACCCCATAATCGTTTATGCTCGATTTTACATTTCACAACATCCCATAATTATACTTTCGCGACCTCGATTTTCCACCATCTGGCAACGGAGGAGGGGAGCATCTATATCTATTCACTCTGGTCTCCTTTCCATTCCTTCGCGTCTCAGTCATCGTCATGGATGGTCGCGATCAAGATGAAGATGGCTGGGCTAGTCCGCTCAGTTTTGACAGCACAGAATCCACATTGATTTTATTCAATGCGGGAGGTGTTGCACCCGATGTCGGTAATGCTCTGTTAGCAGACGTAGCCGACATCGAGTCTGACGAGGAAACTGAGGCTGAAGATGCGGAGGAGGCACCTTCGTCAGAGAGTGAGTCGGAAGGTGAATTGGAGATTGAAGATCTCCATAACAACCTTGCTCCTCTTGACGAACCACTCGAGGTTGACATTCCAGAAGCAGTTCGGATTGACAATCTCGTATGGGATCTCGATGATCCATCCACAGATTCAGGGTATACCAGTCCTTAATCATGGATGGATCGTTATGCATTTTAGTTTTAAGGAATTATGTCTAAGATTTTATTTGTAAGGTTGTAGGCTTTAAGGTTTCTGTGAAACATATAAATAAAAAATAAAAACACTAGAACCATTAACTATCTATTCGTTAGCCGTAAGACCATAAACCCAAACCCAATAAAAGAGTTTACAACATCTATGCATTCTTATTATTATTACATTAATTTCATGTTCATAAACTTATTTTAAAAATTTTAAAATTTTCTTTAACGCGTCATTTACACCCACATCATTGTCTCTAATGACTTTATGCTTTTGTTGTATTATTGTTTATGTCTTCCAATTACTGATACCCTCGATTTCTATAAGTATTTTACAGAAATGGCTTAGTTAATGTTAGGGGTATAATACCCCTATATCTTTTTCCCTGGTGATATTACAAGAATTTGTTATTAGCATTTCCATCTCTATATTACCACTACATTCCATTTCACTACATACTTTTATGAAATTATACCATCTAGGTTAGGGGTAATTCACCCTTATATCTGTTTTCCTGGTGATACTACAACGTTTTGTTATTAGCATTTATGTCTCTTTATAATCCCTGTAATCCATTTCACTACATACTGTTATGAAATTTTATCTTTCATGTTAGGGGTACTTCACCCCCTATATCTTCGTTACTACCCTCCCTACACAAAAACTTCATAAGAACAAATAGGTCCCTTGTACTAGCTGTCTTCATTCCCATACTTTTTTTGTTATTATTTAAAAAAAAATTGTCAAAACTGATTCAAACTGTGCTAAGTCCGCGGACACCAACAAATTTTTGATTCGACATAGACCCTCACCCTCCCCCCTACTCCAGCGGCCAGCGCCCACCCCCCCCCCTCCCCCCCCCTTCGATAGTGATTACCCCCCATTTGAGCTCAAAAATACCCTTATCTCAATTTCATCCCCCGGGGGTGAATTTTTCTTTATTTTTTTTCTCTCTTATTACTACTCCTAAAATTTTTTGGTTGACGCCTAAATTCATCAAAAAATTCAAACTTTTAGATATATCTATTACGTGTCTTATTCTATGAGTACTTACACCCCTACAATTTTTTTTTCCTTTTTTTGCTCTTTTTGTAAACTTTTCACTATTATAAAGACATTCTACTACGACATACTTTTAACGACTTAAACATCTCAACCCCTATACTTTATTTTTTACTACCCCTCTCATCACCCGAGCTCACTACTCTTCTCTAATTATGTTTTTATATCTCTTCACGATACCAGTACTTGTTCCCATTAAATTTGATACCTCACTTGACTATATCCGTATACTTCCTTCTACTATCGGGGGCTGCTACCCCTTTACAAAAATCTTTAATATCTCCGTTGTTTGATTACCGATCAATTTCAAACTTTTACCAAACTGTGCTTTGATTTTTTTTACAATTTTTTTTTCACCCCGTTCTAGGGGTTGTCACCCCCAATTGCTTAAAATTTACATTTATCACTATATTTTTTATTTTTTCACTGATTTTTGAAATTTTTCAAACTACCTGTCTTGTATTTGCATCCCTTCACTCAGTATCTTCACTTACCTTATCACACCGCCTGTTTTTCCCTATGACTTCGACACCTTCCTTCTTCGGCAACTATATAGCTGCTTCGCTCCCAACGGACTGTTGTCACACTGACGTACACTGCTCGATGCTATTCTTCTTTCACAATACAAGCACTGCTAGGTGCTTACTATGTATGTGCATCTTATTAACATATCCATCATCGTAGATACTAAATAGGGCATACTTTGCTCCTATGATGCACCTTTCACATACTATGGAGCCCATCATGCTCGTACCAATGTAGTAATACTGCTGACAACGTTCTTCGCTCCATTCTACACCCCTCGCATAGCTTTCTTGACACACGCTCCATTCTACATATGCATTTCTCACACTTCCTTCATAACTCAATCCGTATGGATAGCGCACTCTATATCCATCTTGCAGTTCACTCCATTTAATTAGAAATCCATTCCCTCCTGACATCACCCCACTGGCTAGTCCTCCTCGTACTCCTACGTTTTCCAAATCTTATGGGGAGTCTAACAAAGACTACATACACTTCTCGTCCTTCTCATTCGTATCGTAAATCCAGCCTATCTTATGGGGACGATGTTGCATACACGTCCCACAATAAACCAGAAATATGCTGCAACAGCACCACCCACACGCCCAGCGCCACCCCTTAGAGTACTTCAACCGTTTCTCCGTTTGACGCACTAAGCACCGACTTTTCTTCACTATATTTACCATGCTATTGCAATGCTTGCAACAACTGAACTGCCTCCTCTCCGAGCGCTGCACTAATTTAAACACATATTTCCAAGGTCATACCTTCTACCACTCACGACTTCAAGGTCACATTTCAAGGTCATATTTCAAGGTTATATTTCAAGGCCATATTTCGATTCAAGGTCACATTTCAAGGCTATATTTCAAGGTTGCATTTCAAGGTCATATTTCAAGGCCATGTTTCAAGGTTACATTTCAAGGTCACATTTCGAGGTTAAATATGCGTTCAAGGTTGGCTCCCAAGGTCGACTCTCAAGGGCGTTCTAGAACATACAAACCCTACCTACTGTTATAAATTTCTGTATAAGCAAACCATTCATTCGAAGTAGTCAAGGTCTCAGGGAAATATAAGCCATTTATTTCACCTTCAGGGATTATAACGGGGCTATTGTTAATGCTCACAGGAACTTTGATAAGAGCTACTTCGTGTGCATTTATCGTTATGCTATATGGTTCAGGGTGAAGTTCACGGAAAAATATGGGAATACGCAATGACTCACTAATTAAATGTCGATTAGTAAGGTCTATGTTGAGATTTAAACGTAGTAATTGTTTTAATCCTAATATGCCGTCAAAAAATGGATGGAAATCAAATAAAATGAAAGTGATAAAATCATCTGATTCAAATTCTGGGAATGATGGCAGATCGGCTTTAAATTGAACTTCTTTTTCTCCTACGCCTGTCTTTAATCTTGAAACTGAATGGTAAATACGTTCTGGAAAGTATTTTTCTACTATTCTAGGGCGTATCATCGAATGTGAACATCCTGTGTCAATGAGTAACTTTAAGGGTGGATTTTGAATTTTGATGTAGGGTAAAGAGTTGTCAAGATCGGAATGGATTTCGATTATGTTTTGTGGGTGCCTTGGCCCTTGTAATAAAAATTTGGATCTGATTCATAATTTGTGGACGAAGAGGCAGTAGCATGTTGAGCTTCAACATTTTGAGTTTTTGAAAATGGTTTTGGATTTCTGGTTCTTTCGGGTTATTCGGTTTCGTATCTTTCGTCGTTTTGAGTGTCATCTATTTGATATAGTTCTTCCGCAATGAAATTTCTGGGTCCCGAGGGCTGGAAATGATTTTGCCTTTGGGGATAGTTCGGTTTATAAGTATTTCTGGTTGAAACTGACATAGGCTGTGGGGAATTATGCGGTACTGTTCCCCTGGGCTTGAAGACGTTATTATTTCGACTTTGGATGTTTATCGGCTGACTTGGGAAATTATTCCGGTTTCTGTCAGCTGGAAAAGTTTGTGGAGGTCGATAACTTTGTTGAAAATTCGACTGATGAGGAGCTTGAAATTTTTGATTATGAAAATTCTGATTTGGTGCCTGATTACGGTAATTGTTATTTGAATGTCCAAACTTTGTCTGTGGTTTGGAACATGAATTTTGTGTGTTACTACATGGAGTCTTTGTGTGATTTGAGAATTTGAAAATGTTTTGCGTATACTGGAAATTTTCTTCCTCAATAATATATGCCATTGCTTCTTCTAGAGATGAAGGATTTTTCAAACGAATAACCGTTTGTAAAGGTCCTGATAATCCGCGCACAAAAGCTCTCAAACAGATACCGTCGTACTGCTTCATCATTGCGACTTTTACTTCGGGCGTTGAGTCTGAAATACTCAATTTCTGTGCAAGAGTACTCCTTAAAATTTGAAGTCTTTTTCCAAAATCTAAGGGTGTCTCATTTCTATTTGGTGAGGCCAGAAATAGATCTTGTTCCAAGCATTCTAAACATCTATTATCACCAAAACACTGCTCTTAAGCATTTTTTATTAAAGACCAGCTATTTAATTCTGTTCTACAGCCAACTAAAAGTTGAGCCCTACCAACTAATTTAGTCTGTACCACTCTCAATAAGTATCTCTTAATCGTTTCTTCAGAAGTGTTGAATGTGTCGAATAGATAATCACATGATGAAATGAAGCTTGGTAGTGTATTGAAATTACCATCAAAATTTGGTATTGTATCTACAAACATGCTTAACATTTGTAAGCTATTTTCTGGGAATGCCATTTCTTCGGATTCTGATTCTGAATCAGTATTATTAATTCTTAAGTTACTTAACTCGTTGATAATGTCTGATAATGACATAAAATCACAACTTTTCAAATAAGATATCCTATACAGGGAAATCAATTTGAATGGGGCGAAAAGGAATTTTGGCTCTTACCTTCTACTCCTATCTTCTTGGAAGGCGGCAGGCAGAAGCAAGGGGCCAACTTCTCGCTCTTGGGCTGTGGATTCTCGTTCGTTTCTGTAGGTCGAACGCCGAAGGGACGATACCCACGTTTTCACGAAACCGGTCACGATACCGCGAATTTTCGGAAAACTGCGTTTTATCCTACTGGTGACTGCGCCAGTTATGCTGCCGAGATGGCCGTTCGGGTTTTTAAAAACTTTATTTTTACTTTTACAAGACAATACAATATACTTGATATTTTATAATGGATAGATGTACAATACGGCGAACAAAACGAGTAATGTTGAATGAATGAATGAATGAATGAATGGTCTGGAAAGCATCAAGAACCTCTATTTATCATCTCGGCTTGGATGCTTTCCTCAGAATTTTCTTCTTCCACGTGCATCCTTTTCTGCATCATAACTTGTATATATATATATATATATATATATATACAGGGTTATCCAAATTAAGTGTCCACCATTAGTAACTTTGTTATTAGTGAAAATACAAAGTTGTTTGAATTAGCAAACTAGTAGCATTTTTAACGCTGGTAAAAATGAGAAATTAAAAAAAACAATTGAGAGTCGTTATTTTGATTTTTTTCAGTAAAATAACATTTTTTTAAATGGAAACCCCTGTATATTATATTTTTTTCTGTTAAAGCATCAAATTTTAAACAAAAAAGCTTACAATAACTTTTCTCCTAGGTTACAAATTGTTGAAGTTATGGCCTCCAATCTGAAACAATTAAATTGTATCGACAAACTTTATTTTCAACATCAACTTATAATCTTACAAAATACAATAACAATTTTTTTAAAAGAAGATGCTCGAAAACACCACCTTGTTCTTCAATACATTTTTGGGCACGTTTTTCAACTGCTCGAACTGTCTTAAGTATGGTCCTACCATCTATCTGGGTTATCTTTTCCCTAACTGCAGTCTTTAACGCGTCAAGGTTATCGTACCTTCGCTTGTAAATTTGGTTCTTTAAGTAACCCCACAAGAAGTAATCAAGTGGGTTTAGATCTGGTGATCTGGGAGGCCACTGTATTGGGCCATTTGTTCCTATCCACTGATCATTAAAAGTAGTACTTAGAAAATGATAAGTACCTCTGGAGTTGTGGGCAGGTGCGCCATCTTGCTGAAAATGCAGATGATGTCTACTTATAAGATCCAATTCGTCTAAGAAATTAGTCAGAATTTCTGACATAAATTCCACATATCTTTCACCAGTTAGGGTTCCCTCATAAAAGAACGGGCCAACAATTTTTGAACCAATTATACCGCACCAAACGTTGAAACTGAAACGGACTTGTGGGCCTCTTGGATGTACTAACAAAAGATTTTCTCTTGACCAATAATGGTGGTTTTTTCTATTAAACATTCCAGAATTTGAAAAATTTGATTCATCTGTCCATAAAAGGTAACGAAAGTTATTTACATTTTGGCGACAGAAGCTAAGATACCAATGGCAAAAAACAAGTCTTCTCTCTGGATCCCCTGCCAAAAGCGTTTGAACTGGTCGGTACTTATACGGAATAAATTTGTATTTTTTTAAAATCCTTTGAACAGTACCATAACTGAAATTAGAGTCCTTGAGAATATCTGCTATTGAATTCTCACGATAAGCTTCAAAATATCCAATAACTGCAATTTCCGTGGCCTCGCTTATTATGAATTCTTTTTTTGCCCTTGTTTTAGCAAAAACATTTTCGTTGCCCCTAAATTTTCGATAAAGTCTCAGAAAATATCGTTCATACGGTTGAATGCTTGCGGGATATAATTCACTGTAGTATTCTCTTGCTCTCAAGGAGGATTTTCTGCACACTAAATAGCATTCTAACATATCACACTTTTCTTCATGGGAGAACATTTTTCTTTAAATTAATGACACAATAAAGCTTATAAACAAGTATTTACACTAATGTTTGACATTATTTGATTTTATCATTGTTTTCCAAAGCCTTCTAGTTGCGAGTATGTCCAGTTTAACAATTTGTCGCTTATCTTAATGCTGTCAAATCGCGAACGCCATGTTGTTTTCATAGCCGTCTTAATATTATAATACTGCAAATAATTAAAAATATTTATCGTTATTTTGACTTTATTTTTGACTTTAGCGGAAAAGTCATTACGAACTTTTTTGTTTAAAATTTGATGCTTTAACAGAAAAAAATATAATATACAGGGGTTTCCATTTAAAAAAATGTTATTTTACTGAAAAAAATCAAAATAACGACTCTCAATTGTTTTTTTTTATTTCTCATTTTTACCAGCGTTAAAAATGCTACTAGTTTGCTTATTCAAACAACTTTGTATTTTCACTAATAACAAAGTTACTAATGGTGGACACTTAATTTGGATAACCCTGTATAGAGTAAATGCCCAAAAATGCAAATGAAAGATGTAACAATCAGACACACAGATAAATCGCAAAAAATAGTTAGATTAAAATTGTACGTTACCAAGGGTATATCGGGAGGCAGTCGTGTTCTCCAGGCGGCTAGTGGATCTCTTGCGATGTTTCCAGTAGTCTGTCTGCAGTTGGGTGGCTGCTGCTCGCTGTGTCCCCTGTTATTTTCCTTCTTCTTGTTGCTTTGTAGTTTCTTACTTGTAGTTTTATTTCTTCAATAGGTTTCTTTCTTCTTAAGGCTCGTTGGTCCTTTTCAGCTTAAAGGATAGGCATCCACCGCACCAGTTAGTATGCACGTGTTCTAATGCGTTGAAGCTATCCCACTTCTGACACCAATTTCTTAAATCATTAGATTTAGAAATAACTTTTAAAAAAAATTTATTTGAGGACTGAACCTTCAGTCCATATAAAATACAAAGGTTTACAAATGTGACATTTACGGAGTCTAACCGGGTATTGAACGACAGGATATGGCCGCGAGGCCTATTTATACATTCAGAAAGCTGACTAAGAATTAGCAGAATACAGCAAAGGCACTATTCTCGCAACGGATTAGCGAGAAGTTGTTATCATATGCTGACACATCGTCTGGTGCAACATTGTATAATAACTGCGTAGTTACTATGGCCATATAACATATATGTATATACAGGGTGTTCCA